ATTTGGGTGAAAAGTAAGGGGACAATACTACCCAATAGAGAAGGTTTAGACAATGAAGTGGAGACAGCAAGAACTTGGAAGGAAAATCAGCATGTAAATGCTGAAATTATTATTTACAGAAGAAAAGCTAAATATAGTGGAACCATATCTTGAACTTTAACAAGGTGGACTGAAATAAATTCAGAGAAATTTTTATTTTTATTTATTTTTATTTTATATTGGATTTCTATACCGCCCTTCTCCCTGAGGACTCAGGGCGGTGTACAGCCAGATTAAAAAACATGCAGAACAAATATTAAAAACAATTAAAAGATATATAAATTTGGCCCAATTAAAACTCATTTACCAATTAAAAACGTTTAAAACATTTAAAAACACTTAAAAATTTCATCTTAAGCCAGCCCGGCTTGTTTAAATAAATGGGTTTTAAGGGCGCGACGGAAGGCACTGAGGTCTTGGATTCTCCTTATCTCTGGGGGGAGCTGATTCCAGAGGGTAGGTGCCCCCACAGAGAAGGCTCTCCCCCTGGGGGTCACCAGCCTACATTGTCTGGCTGATGGCACCCCGAGGAGGCCCTCTCTGTGGGAGCGCACGGGTCGATGGGAGGTCGTTGGTAGCAGCAGGCGGTCTCGAAGATAGCTAGGCCCTATGCCATGGAGCGCTTTAAAGGTGATAACCAACACCTTGAAGCGCACCCGGAAGACAACTGGGAGCCAGTGCAGCTCGCGCAGGAGCGGTGTTACATGGGAGCGCCATGCTGCTCCCGTCACTACCCGCGCTGCTGCGTTCTGGACCAGCTGGAGCCTCCGGGTGCTCCTCAAGGGGAGCCCCATGTAGAGAGCGTTGCAATAGTCAAGGCGAGAGGTGACGAGGGCGTGAGTGACTGTGCACAGGGAATCCCGATCAAGAAAGGGCCGCAACTGGCGAATCAGGCGAACCTGACAAAAGGTCCCCCTAGTTACAGCCGTCAGATGTTCCTCCAAGGACAGCTGCATATCCAGGAGGACTCCCAGATTGCGAGCCCTCTCTGTGGGGGCCAATGACTCGCCCCCAATAGTCAGTGATGGAGTCAACTGACTATATCGGGATGCCGGGAGCCACAGCCACTCAGTCTTGGAAGGGTTGAGCTTGAGCCTGTTCCTCCCCATCCAGATCCGTACAGCCTCCAGGCACTGGGACATCACTTCAAGGGCATCGTTGGGGTGGCCTGGGGTGGAGATGTACAGCTGGGTGTCATCAGCGTACTGGTGGTATCTCACCCCAAAGCCACGGATGATCTCACCCAGCGGCTTCACATAAATGTTGAACAGGAGAGGCGAGAGGACCGATCCCTGCGGCACTCCACAAATGAGAGGCCTCGAGGTCGACCTCTGCCCCCCTGCCAACACAAACTGCGACCGGTCGGAGAGAAAGGAGGAGAACCACCGCAACACGGTGCCTCTCACCCCCAACTCTTCCAGCCGGTGCAGCATGATACCATGGTCGATGGTATCAAAAGCCGCTGAGAGGTCTAACAGGACCAGAACAGAGGAACAACCCCTGTCCCGAGCCCTCCAGAGATCATCAACCAACGCGACCAATGCCGTTTCTGTGCTGTGCCCAGACCTGAAACCTGACTGGAACGGATCTAGATAAGATGTTTCCTCCAGGAATTGCGGAAACTGTCGTGCGACCACACTCTCAACAACCTTCGCCATAAAGCGAAGGTTGGAGACAGGACGATAGTTGGCCAATATTGCCGGATCCAGGGACGGCTTCTTGAGGAGAGGCCTCACCACCGCCTCTTTCAAGGCGGTGGGGAAATAACCCTCACTCAACGAAGCGTTGATAACACCCTGGAGCCAGCCTCGTGTAACCTCCCGGGAAGCCAGTACCAACCAGGAGGGACACGGGTCCAGTAAACATGTGGCCGCACTAAGTCTCCCCAAAATCCTGTCCACATCATCAGGAGTCACAGCATCAAACTCCTCCCAGATAACATTCTCAAGACTATTCCTCTTCACCCTGCCCTGATCTACCCAGTCAGAGTCCAAATCCCCCCGGATCTGGGCGATTTTGTCATACAGGTATTGTCCGAAATCCTCCGCCCTGCCTTCTAAGGGATCCTCCCGCACTCCCGGATGGAGCAGGGCGCGGGTCACCCTAAACAGGGCGGCCGGACGATTCCCTGATGACGCAATAGAGGCGGAAAAGTAGTTAGACTTTGCCGTCTCTATCGTCACTAGGTAGGCCTTAATATGCGACCTTACCAGTGTTCGATCAGATTCAGCGAGACTGGCCCTCCAACCGCTCTCCAGGCGTCTTTTCCGGCGCTTCATTTCCCTCAGCTCCTCAGTAAACCAAGGAGCCGCACGGGATCGGCATCGGGTCAGAGGCCGCAAAGGCACAACTCGGTCCAAGGCCCCACCAGCCGCCCGATCCCAGGCGGCTACCAGGTCCTCGGCCGAGTCATGTGCTAGATCCTCAGGAAATGGCCCAAGCTCCGTCTGGAACCTATCAGGATCCATCAGGCGCCTGGGGCGGATCCATCTAATTGGATCCGCCTCCCTGCGGCGAGGGGTCGCGGTTCGAAGATCTAGGCGAAGGAGTGAGTGGTCAGACCATGACAAGGGTTCCATGTCTATATCCCCTATAACAAGACCACTCAACCACTGGCCAGAGACAAAAATCAGATCCAGAGTGTGACCTCCCCTGTGAGTAGGGCCATGAACTAACTGGGTCAGGTCCATGGCCGTCATGGAAGCCATGAACTCCCGAGCCACCTCAGACGTTTCACCGACGGATGGCAAGTTGAAATCACCCATGACTAAAAGCCTGGGTGTATCTACTGCCACCGTGGCTATCACGTCGAGTAGCTCAGGTAGGGCTGTTGCCACGCGGCAGGGAGCCAGGTACGTAAGCAACAAGCCCATCTGAACCCCACGGCCCCACCTCACAAGGAGGGACTCACATCCGGCTATCTGAGGCACAGCGGTCTCCCTCGGACCCAGATCCTCGTTAATAATAACCGCCACCCCCCGCCCCTCCCCTGAGCCCTCGGCATGGCTATTAACAGATATGTTGCCATCTTGAAACACATATTCAAAAAGTGTTCATCAATAGTTTCTCAATAAACTGAAAGTAGCATGAATTTCTATTGTAGATCTTGTAGTTTTCAATGTTCTCAGCAATGACTTGGATTAGAAAGTGAAGGAAATGTTTATTAAATGTGTAGGATTGTTAATGCTCTAAAAGATGGGAAAAAAATTTCAAAATTAATTGATTGTAGAAATGAGTTAAAAGTAATAGAATGAAATTTATCGAATTAATGTAAAATTCTTCACTTGAAAGCAAACCAAATGCTCAGATATGAAATGAATGTGACAATATCTGGGAAAATATCCTCGTTTAGCAGTTGATTACAAACCGAGCATGAGTCAGCAATGTGATATGGCTGCAAAAAACTAGCCAATGAACTTTTTTTTTTTTAAATTTGATTTATATGCCGCCCTTCTCCGGTGACTCAGGGCGGCTTACAATGCGTTAAGCAATAGCCTTCATACTTTTGTATATTTATACAAAGTCAGTTTATTGCCCCCACAAACTGGGTCCTCATTTCACCTACCTTAGAAAGGATGGAAGGCTGAGTCAACCTTGAGCCTTGGAGAGATTCGAACCAGCAGTAATTGCAGGCAGCTGTGTTAATAACAGGGTGCTTAGACCACTGTACTATCAAGGCTCTTTGATCTTGCATCAATAGTAACGTAAGAGATTACGTTTGCCGTACATCCTGTACTGATTAGATCCCATTTTGAATACTGAGTCCAGTTCTGCGCACAACACATTTTAGGAAGGATTCAAATAAACTAAACTAATTCAGAAAAGGTCAATTGGATCTTTATGGGATTAGAAGCTTAGTTGTATAAAAAGGAAGGAGGAAAGTTTAGCCTTGAAAAGAGACAAATGAAGGAGAATGTGGTAGCATTCTGGACCTATATCACATGGAAAATGATCAATACTTGTTCTTGACCACTCCATAATGGATTTCAGGTAGGGGAAGGCAGGTTTTAATTGAACGTTTATCCCGAAACCCCCCCCCCCCCAAAAAAAAACAAAACAGTATTCAATGTTGGTAGACTTCACTGGACATGTTAAAGCAGAAGTTAGAGAGCCAACTGTTAATGATGCTTGAAAATTCTTGCACCAAGCAGGAAGGTTGGATTCAGTGGCCTAAATGAGCTCCTTCCAACTCTTAAGATTCTTATTCTACAAGTCTATGAAATAGACCTGCACCTTATCTGAACTATTACTGTTATTTCCTAGAAATAATTACAGTAAGTCTGTTAATTTTAATGTGGGTGAATTTGATGCAGTTAACTTTAATTTAAGAAGTCTTATCCACAATTAATCTTAGACTAATTTACATGAAACTACTGCTTTTCTTACAATAATTAATCTAAATGCAACTACCACAAAATATTGCAATCTATTCTCATTCCTTGTGCATCTCTAGCCAACTTCTACCAATGTTTTTAGGTTCATGTGTAGGAGAAATATTCCCTTAAGATTCCATTTTTTGCTTTTTATTTTCCAGAACTCATTTTTATTCTACTGAAAGGTGAAATAACATGGGAAAAAGAGGTTTTGTTTCAACCTCCTTTCTAATCCTCCTCTCTTTCTTAAAATGTCCTTTTTCTTTTAATGCATAAACAAAAGTGTTGTATGTAGAAATCTTTGTTATATTTCTGGGTAGCTTACTTATGCTTTCAAATTGATAAGTACAGCATCAATCAATCAACTGTAATGTTATAGAGAATAATGATTGCTCTTCAGGAATGTATTTCACCTTCTACACAAAATGATCTGCTGTCCACTGACATTGTACACCATAAATTCTCACAACTAGATCCATGAATCCAAGTATTTTTTTTAAAAGCCAGGTTCTGTTTAATTAGAAGGTAGGGCTTTTTTCCTATTAAGTATACAAAAACTATATGTAAAAAATCATCAATTAAACTCACCGTAAGTGCAAATCATCTTACTAGCTTCCCTGAAGAGCAGAATTCCATTAGGAGATGACACATCAAAATTTAAACGCTGAGATCTGAGGAAAAAAGCAGAAACATATCTTTATATAATCTGATGAAACAAGCACTTATAATGTATATCAATAGTAATTCAACTCCTGAATTATGAGAGCTATGTAACCAAAATGGAGCTATTTAGATTTCAATAAGCTTGGTGAGGTTCTTTTGTTAACAGAAGCAGAGAAAAATAACCAGTGAGGCATCACAGAAGCAAAATGATAGGTATGTTTTGAGTTAAACTTGATTGTATGGACAAATGCTTGTCATTTCATCTAGTCTCTAGTCTCTTGTCATTTCATCTAGACTACTAGTCTCTAGTAAAACAAGCAGCTCTTCCAAAAGCATCCCAATAATTTCTTTGATACCCTCTATCTACCTTATTCATTGTCTTCTCTCTTCAGCTTTCCTTTATCTAGCCTAGCACAATCATTTTCCCAGCCAATCATTTATCACAACATATGGGCAAAGCATGCAATTTGTGTATTATGGGACGGAAATGATTCAGATGGGGAAAGGAGGAGAAGGGAGAGGACAAGAGAATGGGGCATCTAAACACAAAGACAATTAGAATCAACAAAAAGAATACTACCTATCTATGTATGCATTATCTTGCTACTGTGTATTAATCCTTTAAATGTCTTGGGAAGTTCACCAATGCACTAATTAATGTCCTCACATTATAATAAAATCTCCATCATATCTTCCTAATCTTTTTTTAAAATAAGTTATCAGAATCAATAAGAAAAATCCTGAATCTAAGCTTTCCCCCCCTTCTCTACAGATGTGCTTCAAATCTTTCAAAAACATGTAACCATATGTATTATATAGAGTATAAAGCATCATGATTTATATGTAAAAGCAAGAATTATGCTTATAAAGATAGAAGCAACTACAGATGCTTGAATGACAGTAACTTTCATTATTCTACAAATACTTGTTCAAATTAAGCCTAAATCTAAGGTTTATTCATCATCCAAAGTGAGAATATTCAACATTTTTATTCCCAATATTAGTGTAACTGCTGGTCCCAACTTTCACAACTTTGATGGAATGTTTAACAAGCTGTTTATCCATAGATTCTCTGTGCAATCAATTTCTAATCAGAATTTTTGTAGGTGTGAAGGAATAAGTGTATATGTTCCAGATTTTCTCTCAAATATATGTAACTGGAAACAAGACTAGTAGTTGTGCTATTCTATACTCATTCACTGATGGGAATGAATGGAGGAATCACTACATCAATTCAATATAAATTGATTAAGTAAATGTTAAATAGCTTAATTAGCAAATATCAGCCTTATGTCAGCATCATATAAATGTGACGGTATTTCTAATGTAAGAAAACTTACTTCATAGAGATGCACTCTCCCTAATTATGTTTGGGGAAGTGTACAAGCTTAAAAAAAGGCTATAAGGTGCCACATGACTGTAAGCCTGAATGTTGATACTTCTTGAACTGAATCTGAGTTTGATTATGTAACATTTGTGTACCCAGCAAACTGTTACCAGCATACATTTGGATTCCAGGGAAGATATAGCACTTTTAAGTCTAAAAATAAATACAGTTTGAAGTGGGTGCTGACTGATGGAAATAAAGACAATGTGTACTTCCCACAAGACAGGAAAAATGTTTCATATCAACCTTAATATATAAATTAGCTCCACAAGATTGATTGTGAAGCTTAGCAAGTAATACAGTTAGATTTCCTGGTTGGATATCGTGGCAAAATGAATTAGAAACAATCACTTTGACAAAGTGAGAAAAACTTGTCTCTTATATGTAATGCCACATATAGATAAACAAACAAGCAAACAAGTAAATAAAAATGTGGATCTCAAGGACTTAGTGCCTAGGAAAAAGTGACAAAATAAATGACATGAACCGGGACAGAACAGAGATAGTGATGAACAAAGAAAGATGTTATTTAGTTACAGAGAATAGAAATAACACTATCTTCCTTTGGTGATGACGCTTTGAAAGCATTCATGGAACAGGTGAGTCCTGAATTGATTTGAAGGAAGTGAAGGAGCTGTGGCATTTTGGGAAATCAAAAGGAGAAGCATGTATAAGATTGCTTCAGGGAGCAGGACATCTTTGGACAGTTAAGAATAGTAGAGCTAGAGATATCATGTGATGCCTCAAAATATACAAGTGGAGATGTATGTGCGGGGGGGAAGTATACAAGATTTTGAAAGAAGGACAAAAAGTTTGTTCAGGATCTGAGGATAAAGAAGAAACATATATAGGTGTTACATCGTAAGCAATAACAAAGGCAAATGATATTAGGAGCAGAAACTCAGACCTGAAGCATACTACTCTTAAGACACAACTCAATATAAATAACTAAGCAAAATGTTTAACTATTATGGTTAGGTTCTGGAATGGAGCAGTCATAAAATTAGATTTTTATCCTGTCTTTATTTTTTATAAATAACTCAAGGCAGAGAACATGCCCAATGCTCCTGTGTTCTCCTATTTTCCACACAACAACCCTGTAAGGTGGGTTGGGCTAAGAGAGTGCAACTAGCCCAAAGTCACCCAGCTGGCATTCATAGCTAAGATGGGACAAGAACTCACCATATCCTGATTCCTAGGCCAGCATCTTAACCACACTAGACCAAACCACCTCTATTATTATTAACTTTATTTAGTTAATAATGAAAATTCATTTTCTAAGAAAGTAATTCAATTTAGACTGTTTGATAGGGGTGTCAGCCTTGGAAGCCATATTAGGCTGGGGTTTTTTTTAGTCTTCTGTATGACAAATGGACTGGTTGCAAAAGAAATTATTAGGAAGAAATAAACTTGTTTCAAAGTCAAAGTAGACAGAGCCGTACTCTCCATGTATTCCCTTGCTATTTCAGACATTTCCTAAATGAAGGACTGGGACAAAATGTCTTATTGTTTTAGAAAGACAAATTAGAAAAATGTTCTTAAGATTCGAGAAATTCTGAATTCTCTAACAGAGGCTAGGATTTTGTAATGCATAAGGAACACTTTATAATACTTTCTATTCTATAAAGTACAAAATAGTAACATCTGGCAGATATAAATAATGGAAGCAACTTCATTTTATCATATTGCACAATTTAATACTCTGTAACATATTTCCACCATGTCAAAGTGTATTGTACTATGCATTTTAACCTGTAAAACTTAATGCTGTACACAACTCAAGAAAAAGCAAAGCCATCCCCAATGATGATGTCTAATGGGAACAATATAGACTTTCTGAATACCAATAAGTAAATTAATATAATGAATATGCAAAGTATTTCAATGAGCTTTCCTTCCTTTAGAGACTTAATCTTATACCTCTTTGTCTTGTTCGGAATTGTTTGGATTTGTAAAGGTTTCTCTTGTACCTTTTTCCTTTATTTATGTATGTATGTATGTACATATGTATGTGCGTATATGTGTGTGTGTGTGTGTATATATATATATATATATGTGTGTGTGTGTGTGTGTGTGTGTGTGTGTGTGTGTGTGTATTTGCAAATATATTTGATTTTTTTTTAAAAAAATCTAAAACTCTTTAATATAGGTCAATGTTAAAATCACCCAAAAGTAAAGTCACCCAATCACCTGGCTTTTATTTAAGATGTGTTACATGTAAAACATATTCATTCAATGTTTAGTTCATAGAGTGAGTTGACTTAGAATACTGAAAAACTGTTTTCAATTTTGACTATGATTGGTCACCTGTTTGTAATAATTAGCTCAACCATTTAAATGTAGAATTTCCTTTTTTTAAATATATATATATATATATATATTTGCAAATACACATTTAGTTTACAGCAAGATTTTGAGTGAAAACTCAGTTATTCTAAATGGTACCCTCTCAGCCTAACCATTATGCGACCCATTAAAAACTGTCAGACATTAATTGAAAAGTTCGATTAGTCAAATTCAGCAAAGGGGAGAAAAACCCAGCCATTACTCATACGAAGATAGGATAACTTGCTGGGTATTTCTGTAGGAATTATGCAGTAAATTGTCCATTGTTTTCTAATAATGGAATACTTTCTCAGAGCTAAAGTAGATTGGGCTCCCTTTGGATATATCCATTGTATATGAATATCTACCAAGGAGATCAGGCAATCCTGATTAGCTTACTATAGCAAATCACTCTATATCAGTGTTTCTCAACCTTGGCAAGTTTAAGATGCTAGGACTCTCAGAATTCCCTAGTCAGCCAGAATTCCCCACCCACTGTTATATATTCATGGTAATCAAAAGAAAGCATCTTTGCAAAGAGATCAGCAAGGTAGTTTATCTCCCATTTTGTGGGAGTTAGAACAGAAAAAAATCAGAAAAGTACAGATAAAATCACAGATTTCATCAAACTTAATCTGAATGAATTTGCATAGGATTGTGCTACATAGTTTAAAATGTGCAAAGGTTTTATGAATATATAGCTGTAAGTGAAGCTTTTCAACGTTAGCTTGATTGCACAAAATCCCTACAAATATGGTTTCTAGTAATACAAAATTTTGTTTTGAGGCAAATCCTGCAGTTGTTGACATAGTTAAGAGAACTATCAAGCAATTAAATGGGAACAACTGTACCTGTTTTGCATCATCTCAGCCATAAATTTCAAGATTGGAGTTGTACATGCTGGTTCGCGATACCAAAGTTCAACAGCTGTTTGAAGAATGGGAAGATATGATGGGTAGCTTTTATAAGTTATGTTAAAGATTCAAAATAAGTGACATGCATCAAGTACAGCTTAAAAGTCTACTAAAAACACAGTTAAAAATGGGTTTTTTCTTTAGTATCTATACATTTTCATTAAAGCAAAGCCAAAATGCTTATAATAGAAAGATGTAACATACACTGACAGACCTTGTTCTATAGTTGTATATCCATTAAATTCTTAGATGTTCAGTTTTAATTTTTGTAAAAAAATTATATCTCATACTTGCTCTTGGAGGTGAAAGTTACATTTTATTCATATAGTCTAACTTCTCACCAAAATACACTCAACATTTTAATTTACTCGTAAGCAATACTGTCTTCAAGTTTTATGAAGAAAACTTAAGATAACAGTACTTTCAACACCCTTGAGTTATATCATATGACAGAAGCCTACTAAAGAAGTGTTCCTGTAACTGTTAATGTTACAACCATTGGTATAGTGCTACTAAATGAGAGAGATCTATCAGAAAACAAGGTCAATGACATGTTTAGAAACATTGAGAGGAGCAAAAAAATTAAGATCATGGGAAATATCATCCTGCTCTGCTCTGTCTTGGTCAGGCCTCACTTGGATTATTGTGGTCAGTTCTGCTGGGGAAAAAAAAAGACATGGATAAACTGAAGCAAGGGCTAACAAGACGATAAAAGGATTGGAAACCAAGTCCTATGAAGAATGGTTAAAAGACCTAGCTTGAGAAGGTTGAGAATGGACACAATAGTTGTCCTCAAATATCTGAAAGGCTGTCATATTGCAGAGGGCTGGAGGTATTCTCACTTGCTCCTGAGAGCAAGACTAGGATTAATGGGATCGAATGTCGAAGACTGAGATATAGATTAGACATTAAGAAGAACTTTTTGACAGTAAGAACTATTGATTAGTGGAATAGAATACCACACAGAATGATTTCTTCCCTTTCACTGGAGGCTGGATAGTCATCTATTGGGGATAGTGTAGTGAATGCTGCATCATGCAAAGGTTGGACTGGATGACCTCTCAGGTACCTTCTAGTTCCATGAAGCAAAGTGAGGAGCTGAACTCCAAGTGGAGCAGTCTTCTAACAGATTCTTGCAATGCAGCTTTGCACGGACAGAGAAGGGTGTTTGCAAATCCAGGAACAAAATGCAATAGATTTGCTTGAATCTCATTGAATCAAGCATGTCTTGGCTGAATTTAAAATCTATGTTTAAGCCAGGATTTAAAAACAACAGTATAATTCTAAGCCACAATGTGTGAATCCACACAATATACTAAGCCAAAAACGAACTATGAGTTACCATTATGTGACCTACCTATTCTATAGCTCTCTGAAATACAGTAAAGTAGGATTTGTTCTGCAGTGACTACAACAAAAACTGCACCTTACTTAAAGCTTCCTGAACACTTGGAAAGGCTATAGTAACAGAAATAAAGAAAAAGAAAGCTCTTTGCATGAAATATTTATGTTTTCATACATGGAAAATGGTAGTGAGTGGTAGAAAAGAGTCAAGAGACTGACAGATTATCTTTTTGTAATTAGAAGTAAGTTTTACCAATTCCACCAATCACAGTGCTTTTGTAAATGGATGCTGAGTCTTATTCTGCTATGTTGGCTATGTGTCACCTGAACTTTCAGAATTTAAGAAAGTGAATTGTTTGTAGCAAAGCATTTAAATTTAACTAAAGCCTCAAAAGGTGTACAACTTATTAAACAAAATATGGAACTACAAAATTATGGAAAAATATCTCAGTCACAGCATTCTAATTTTTAGGTTCAGTTGCACATGTTTTTATTAAAAAAATACTGCTTCTATATGTTTAGGCATGCTCCATACAGCCCATATACTCTACTGACTAACCAAGACAAAACATCTGAACTGGAAACTCTGAATCAGACAGTTTGACATATCAATAATTCAGGAGAAATGTATGACTTTCATATTTATATTTTTAATTCTTCATCTTTATTTTCCTTTTCATAGAGGAATATACCAAGCCGAATCTATAGCTTACTATCAGAAACGCCTTTAACATATTTTGAGATATTTTAATAAAGCTTTATGAGAGATCAAATTTGTTACAACTTTGTAACATATTTTTTTTTATTATTACACATATTTGCTCTTCATCCTTTGCCCAGAGGGAGAAACTATAAATCTTTTCTCAACTGAATGAACACCATTTATCATATTCATTTTCTTGTCAATACAATTATGAAAAGCCTTTGGCCTTTTTCCAAGGAGTCTGATTTGTTATGGAAACCCAATTAGTATAAGCAAGCCTGCTACAAACAATTCCATTTTGCAGGATAACATTAATGTTCTTTCTCAGCTAGATACTTCTAAACATTAAAAGAGAACCCTTCCATATATGTAATAATTCCAAGGTCAAAGATCAACTAAGAAATATTATGGATTCTGCTCATTTTTGCCATCTAGTGGACAAAAGTCACATTCAGAGCTGTTTAGCTGAACTGAAAATTCAAGGGAGATACAAGTGTTTCTAAGAGGGTTTTTTAAAAAATTTGTTTCAAACATTTATTCAACTGAGGCAGTAATAGGAAGAAAGCTGTTTAGAAGAACAGCTGGAGACTTCTGCATCTTCTACTGTTTTGTATTAATTTTGGTGTTAAATAATTGCTCTATATTATTAAAATTTTTGTTTATGTATTTGTTTTTAAAATAAAGCTTTTGTAATAGCTTTAAAATAAAATAATCTTAGTATTAAGAAAGGAGACCTTATTTTAAAGAGTTTTTATACATGTGAGAATGAAAACCTACTCCCAAATATTGTCTAAGATGATTTCAAATAAAGTCAAAATGGAACACTGCACTATCTAAACTACTCTTTGAAGTTCTCCGTAAATGTGAAGTCCAGATGGATGAATCCTAATATAAGCTCTCTTGATTTCATTAAGGGAGACCAGTTAGAAGATTCTAAGGAGACGTATAGTCCCTTTTTTCTTGAAAATCATATGCACTCACTAATCAAGTTAACACAAATTGTTACTTTGGCTCTTAAATAGAAATGACAATCCAACATTGGTAGGATATAATTCCAATTTTGCTTTCTATTAAAATAAAACAGAGAACACAATCAAAATCTGCAAGTTTTGCTAGCCTAAATCATTTATGAAGTAATATGAGACCGCATAGCATCAGATGAAATCAATGCGTCTAAGTATGATTCCTGCAATAAGTATAGGAAAATTAAGTGTACAACAGGATAACTTATACATACTTTAACTAAGCAGAGACATATCACATCGTAAATTAAAGGGCTATAGAATTATTAAAGCATTGCAGGGTTTCAAAACATTTAGGGATTAAGTGTGGTGTAACCCCCCACCCAAAAAAGTGACCTTTTTGTGGTCTCTCTCCAAATGTTGCCTTCCCAGTTAATGGCATGTGTGCAACTGTACTGTAATTTTAGCTGATTACATATTAGTTCGTTTAGCTTTGTTTCCTCTTCCCCACTGTGCCATGCTATTAAACTAATGCAAAGGACGTGGTATCCCTCTGTGCACAGAACTGGTATTGTCATAGTGTAATAAGGATACATCCAGTCAAACAGCATGGTGTAGCTGGTCTTTGTGTTCAGAGCAAAGGCAATCCCTCGAAGATCTCTTGCCAGTCCGATCAACATACGCTGTCAGTGGGAAAGAAACACAGTAATTGATTTTCACGTTAGCACCGAGCAGATGGAGTAATGATCAACCAGTAATGAGCACAATATTTGATTTTAATTCATTAGTGTAAATGTCTTTTTCCCCCTCTAAAGAATGCTAGGGCTTAAGTCTCCCTCTTAAATGTTAATATTCATCAAATGTTTACAAATGTATAATAAAGGCTTCTACAGAACAATGTAAATGTAACTGAGTTTAAATACTGGATATAAAATTATGTAATATTTTAAAGCTGAAAATGTACATTTATGAAAATGTATGGCATTTCCCCCCTCCTTGCTAAATTGAGGATTTTTACAGATGAAACTTTCCTAACTTGATCATCACTCAAAATAATTTGAAGAAAATGCATTAGTTCCTTTTATGTTTCAACTAAAAGTAGTTGATTAGCAAGAAACATGAATAAATTTCCATAAATATTACTGAGTATATTCAACACATTAATAATAAATGCACTAAAAATATTCGTTTTAAATGTTTCAGATTTTAAATGTTGACTGTTGTTATTGAACAGATGCTGAAACCATTTAGTAGATATTCCCTAAAAATCATACATAGAGTCAAGGTTCATGGGTATCTCCTCTCTTGCAGAGATTTTAAATAACCAGTTAAGATATCAGAACTGGCTGTTTAATTTCAGAAACCTCAAAAGAAAAGAAATTGGTATTATGATCAGTGTATGGGTAGTTTTATTACCATACTAACTTTTCTGTACATAGGAATTATTTGAATGTAAATCTTATAATTTTTCATAAGATACACACAATTTGCTTGTAGTACACTTATTACAGTAAGTCTGAAGTAGTTTTTAATCATAGATCATTCCTAATAAAAAAATATATTATATTAGATCAACCTTCTGGGTTCACATAACTTCTCCAGCAGTTAATTCATGATAAGAGCATAGGAAAATCTTTCTAGATTAATACTTAAGTAATAAGTCATGTAAAATGTGAAAAACCTGTTTCAACTCAATATATACAATTCAATCCAAAGTTACCCTGATTTTGTTTTTTAAAGTTACAAAAGAAAATGTTTTCTCCATTCCAGAATTTGCCAATTATATAATTCAACCATAATTCTGAATGGGCAAAAAGATAAATTGGATGGACACTGCCAAATGTCACAGAAACATCAACTATCAAAGGAAGAAAGGTAATCAGATAAGGTGTTCTGGTCAATATAGTGAATTACAATATTACTCTGCATCAAAACGAGCTCTCCTGGAGCTTTGTAAGATTAGATTACATTAGAACTGAGAATTAGAACTTAATTCTCAAGCATAAAACTGTTGTGTGATATACAAACATACGCCTGTCGCACTCTGAATTTAATCATGGCTTCTTGCTGGCTATTCACATACAGACACCCAAACAAACACTTTGGTTTCATTAACATGATTATGAAGAAGTTAAGAGTAGGAGAGATAGCTTAGTTTCTCATAGGAAAATGTTCCCATAAGAGAAAGAGGAATATTAAGAATATCAGAAAGAATTCTGAGAAGTAGTAGTTTGATAGAGAGGGTATAAATGACTGGCACGACCTAAAATGGATCTAGGCAGTGTTACCTACTGAAGATTTGTTACTGTTATAAAGTAATGTGTCTGGTTAACCTACATTGGACTGAGTTATAATGTACTATTTAAGACTAATTAATATGAGGGCAAGTCCAGAATAGTTTACTGAAGAAAGTTGTTGGGCGAGAATTTGACTCACTGAAGGAAGAAGCATCATAGGCATTCACAGGATCCAGCCCTTTTGCGCTTCTGTATGACAGAAAGGGGAATGGGTTGTTAGACATAGGGAAGGAAAGCCGACTAATATCAAAGAGAAGTGTGCACTATAAAACCTTGTTTGTCCTTCACAGATTATCCTTCTGGCATTGAACATGACAGAATATGAAGATGTTCTGCTAGCCAGAAATGAAAGAGAAAGCCTATGCCAGTCTGAGTGACAAAGACTGCTGCCAGTTATATTCAGCTCTTCTTTATTTCTGAGAAGATTAGAAATAGCCGTGTAAAGGCATGCTAAATTCAAGAAAATAGTTTGAAAACATATGGAATGAGAGCAAGCTTAAGCTGCAATTTTGAGTACATGAAAAAAATAATAATCTGTAGCCAGGAGCATGGACAGAAGGAGGTAGAAACAACCTTGTTTTGTTTAGCAGTAAATAATTCTTGCTAACTTTTTCTAAGGAATGTGGCAAAACTTAAAGTAGCTTGCTTATTTAAATGCCACTTGATTTAGTAAAACAGAAAAAAAAATCCAGAAGAAGTGCTTTTGCACTATGTCTTCCATTAAATCCTATGAAGCCCCAACAACTTTATTATCTGGCAAATCTCAGTAGGTCAGTTTCAGGTTGATGTTTTTTTTTTTTACTAAATTTCTAATCATGAGGACAAAGATAATAAACTTGACAATGAAATTTTCGAAGGATGACACAGCAGTGGAAAAATAGCTACCAACAAATAGTTCTCTGCTTTCCCCCAAACTTATAGAATTAAAAACTGTAATTCAGGAAAAGCAAATATATTTTCACTCAGGTTGTCAGTGAAGAGAGGAGAGGATTATTTTTATGCCAGTCCAGTTTTGAAGCCCTGAAAATCAGGAGTAAAAAGTAGGAACTGGAAAGAGATAGATGGGAGAAAGTGAAGAGGGCAATGAAGTGAGTTTAGGAGTAAATCACTTATACTGAATTGTTTTAGAAGAAGGGGGGTGAACAATTTGGTGCTGGTCCCTCTTTTTAGGCTTATTAATTGGATAAATGGTCTAGATATATAGACCACTATATAGAATACTTATTCCATTCTCATGAACCAATGTATTTCAAAATGTAACCTATAATTTATATATAACTTCTTGAATTCCTCATGCCGTACAAAATTGACTACATATTACATCATACATGCACCATAGCATTATGTGCTCCTTTCATATATTTTTACTCCTGTAAACCATGTACTCCATGCTGTATGCTATATAAATAAATCTAGGCCAGCTGCTTCAGGTTATTTGTTATCAGTGAATGTCAGGTCCATGTATATGGGTCTTATGGCTCCATGATCTTGAGAAGGAGTCATCAGGCTTGGCAATGCCCTCTTATCTCATTGACCTAAAGTGGGTCGGAGACTCTGGATATGTTTTTTAAAAAAAGTTTTGCTGACAGCATTTAACTGCATAAATTTAATATCTCTAAGAAGACAATCTACAGTACATGCAGTGGTGAAATTCAAAAAATTTCCCTACCGGTTCTGTGGGCGTGGCTTGGTGGGGGGCTCATGTGACTGAGTGGGCATGGCCAATTTTTGTTTTTACTTTTTAAAGCATTTTTTAACTAAAAAAAGTTTTTAAAAAGTTCTGACAATCAGCTGTGCCGCGCGATCGTTGGAACCTTTTTAAAAAAAAACTTCTTTAAAGCATTTTTTTACTACCGGTTCAGGCGAATAGGTAGTAAAAAGTGCTTTAAAAAAGTTTTTAAAAAAGGTTCCGATGATCAGCTGTGACAATTAGCTGTACCACACGATCGTCGGAATCTTTCTTTTACTTTTTTAAAGCATTTTTTTACTACCGGTTCAGGAGAACCGGTAGCATTTTTTACTAACGGTTCTGGCGAACTGGCCCGAACCGGTAGCATTTCACCCCTGAGTACATGGAATAGACCATCGTATAGCTTTTCCAGAGTCAGATTATACTACAGTTCTTCAGAACTAGATTTATAAGGAGCTATCTACATAAGCCTTGTTTATGAAAACACTCCTTCAAAAAAAGGGATTGAATGTGTTACTTTAATATTTTCAAAAGCATTAGGCTAATGCCCTGCCTTATTCCTACTATTCAAGTAACACTTCAAAGAGCTTTTCTTCCAATGACTATATTTTAAAAAATCCAGTCAAGGCCTACTTTTTCTAAAAGATCTTTCTGATCTTTTCCAAAATTCAGATATATCAATGTATATAATTTCCAGAACAAAAATCCCAATTCCCAGTATCTGTGTCAACTTTCAACACTTTCTGTCTCTTTGAAGCCAATGATTTCATAAGACCAAAGAACTCAAGTATATATTTGGGCAAATCAACTGACAGAAGAACTTTTAATTCATATGAACTAAGGTAGCTGCCCTAATCTCCATGGGTATACTGTAGACTAAGAAGATACGCATAGAGATTATATGCTCTGCTCTCCCTCCACAAGCAATATCTATTATTGTATCATGATCAGACTTTCACTAGCTTAAAGCTATGAATTAAACCCTTTAATGTGAGAAACTCTTGACAATACTTGATATATGAGAAAAAGTGAAATCATATTCCAATGGATTATTTAGCTGTTTATAACAGCAAAAAAGATAAACATATGGAACATTGTTATCCAAAGTTAAAATAATGAAAAAATAATAATAAAGAACAATTGAACTATGGCATTTCACTATCCAGAAAGTCCTGCTAACTTTATATTGTAATAAAATTGCTGAATGATTATACAAATATTTGCCGAGAGCAAACAACATCCTAAAAGTAGGGATATAAATGTAGTTATTTACAGTAGCCAAAACTTATTTAAGGACCAAAAAAACCATTTATTAGCCTATGGCAGACTTTAAAAATGGCTCTAGGTTCATATAACTGAATTCACATAAAAGAGTAGTTTCAAGGTGGCATTGCCTGAAGAAAAAAAATTAAAACAGGCCTTTGGTATTCACATTATCAAATGGGTTTTCATGAAAGGTGGTATAAAGAAGAATGGGACAATACAACTTGCATTCAGGTTCCTTATTTTATATCAGTGGTCCCCAACCATTATGTCTCCATGGACTGGTGGCGGCAGCAGGGGATGGTTTCGTGCATGCAACCTAGAACCTGTATATACACAAATGAAGCTTTGCGCGCTTGCCTGTCACTTGCATGGCCCAGTTTCCCAACAGGCTGTGGACCGCTACCGTTCCACAGGCCAGGGATCCCTGTTT